AGTATTAAGTAAACTCTATCAGTGTAACTAGAGTAGTGAATGTTTGAAAACTATTCAAATATAAAGGCTCTATCTCTGAGTTCTGGGAAGTAATTAGTTTCGAAGATCCTATAATTAGCATAATTGAAAAGTTACCTATTCGCCATCCAAACCTCAATTTCATAGGTATATATCTAGTATATATAAAGTACTAAAAAGTTACATTAAATTTGATAAAACTTGCCTACTCTATAATTGTAATAATATCATAATAAGATTTTAACAAAAGTCAGTCGTTTAAAAGTCAAAAGAGTACATTTTACATATAATGTTATATATGATTAAATAAATTCAATTCTTTTTTACTAATCTTATTTATTACATATATATTAAAATCAATTGCAGTTCGTTAGTCTCGCTAAAACTCGAGATAAGCTGAAAGGATTTATCTTATCTTGGTCTTGAAATGTTCTTGGAGGTCTAAGTAAGGTTTAAAATGTGAGAAAAATTCGAATAATTACCGGGAACTAAATAAGATTTTTATTCCACGCGGACGGAGTATCGGACGACGGCTAATCAGTAATAAAAATGTGATATGTTATCATTGTTAAAAACATTATTTTGTGCTAAAAATCAGCGGCCATGTTTACATTTAATAATGAAAACAAAATATTAATTTGTGTTATCGACAACACACAGGCGGCAGCGCCACGTACAGAATTTAATCTCTGTATGCCAACATACAATCTGAGGATATGCTGCAGTGTGAAACATTCCAGTAAATTCTCATTGTTGAGAACATAGTAACAAAACTACACTAGTGGTAATTATACCTCACTGTGATAAAACCTACCAATATAAGCCGGAGTACTTATGTCTTAAAAATACTAAATGAGCTAACAACTCTATTTTTTTAAATCATTTCATGATATAAAATTATTATGTACTAGCTGTCACCTACCACTAGGTCCGCGCGGAATTGAAAAAAAAGCTTAATAAGTATCCTATGTGTTCATCCAGACTATGTTCTATATGTATGCCAAATTTCATATAAATTCGTTGAGCCGTTCCGGAGATACATTTAAACATACATCCATCCATCAGAACATTTGCATTTATAATATTAGTAAAATAATTACTTTCATATCCAATCTTTATATATATCTCACAACTAATCATAAATAAATAATCATTCCCAAAGAATCTCTTAAACAATCGATTGCTCTTTTCATATTAAAAATATATAAAAACAAAACACCACCGAAGCTGTCGCATTAAAATGTCAATAAAAGTCAAATCTAAATTGCGTACTCATTCTTAACTTCACCGCCATTATTTATATTGTGAGTATACGGAGATATAATCTCCTTTCAGCAAAGACTTTACAATAAACTTGAAAGCTCTCGCGGCCTGTTGAGCTTCTTACAAACGAGTTATTAATCTGTCGACGCTGTTCGCAATTTAAAAAAACAAACACCTCATCTTAATACGTCTCGACTTTGAATATCAAATGTACTTAAAAGCATAACCGTTTACTCCTTAACTTACGCAAAATAAAACTTCCATTCCTCATATTGAAATTCTGTTAAATAATACGTTATTCTGTTGTTTTCTTATAAGACTCTTTTATTGTCTTTTCTTAACATTTATGTAAATCCAATAGGTTAAATAAAAATATTATACAATTTGCATAAGAAAAGAAAACAAACCATAAAAAAGATGTTAACCTAAAGCCATATCCATCGCCGCCGAATTGGCAAAGACTTAATAAAACGACAACAAAAATTCAACCATAAGGGAATTACGTAATACGTTGTTTGAATAAAATGAGTGCAAAAATTTCCAACGCCCTAACATTCGCTCTGCGACATCGTATTATAAGACGGGCCTACCAAGACGTAGCGTGAAATTGCCTCCGGATGAGATACGAAGATGCACCTACATATAATAACCGCGTACGATTTCACGTTATAAAAATGTTAGAAAGATATTAGAATAAGATAATAACGAAATTAAGAACGCTTTTTAAACTAGATGTTTTCACATAAGGAGAGTTATAAGCAAAGCTATCGAGCAACCTATAACAAGTAATATGTTATACGTCGCACAATAGCCTTAGTTTCCACTACTATAACAACTTGTTTAAAAACATTTCTACAATTTTTGTTTGTTTTGAAGAGAATGAAAGATAATTATGTTACCAATATTATAAATGCCAATGTTTAGATGGATGGATGGATGTTTGTTTGAAGGTATCTCCAGAACAGCTTAACAGATCTTTATGAAATTTGGCACTGATGTACAACATAGTCTGGAAGAATACATAGGATACTTATAAAGTTTTTTTCATTGATGTGCGGGGAGGAGTCGCGGGCAACAGCTAGTATTAGTATAATGATGATAGTAAGACGTGAACAAAGATCTAGGACTTTGAAAGTTATAGTTAAATTCGCAGCTAATATTGATTTTGGGAAATTTTTAACAATTTAATTTAAACTTGAGCGTTTATTTCTTACTTGTACCGTCCTTTAGGAATAGGAATATTTATCAGCATAAAAGTTTCAGCGAAAACTGCAATTCTATTGAGCCATTTTATGAGCAAGCGATCGACTATTCCGCAGAGAAAAGCGAAATTAATCTTACTCCACATAAATCTTCTCGTTTTATTTAACCTCAATATTTAATAGCAATATTTAACGTTGATTTATTTCCATGGTTCATATAACATCGTAATTTAAAATTGTTTTTTGTATGAAAAATATTTTGTAAATTATTTTGTTGGACAAATAACGTGTAACTAATTGCAGGTAATTTTCAGAACCAATCAGATTTTGGAAATGATTTTTGAGTGTTTAATGTAATATAGTGTAAACTAGCGGACCTGACAGACGATGTCCTGTCTACACGTCTTTAATTCGAATATTATTTAAAATTTAACACTGCGATGGTAGCGCCGTCTGTCGGATCCAATGTAAAACATTCCAAAATCAACAACTACTAATAAATTAAAAATTAATTAAAAAAACATTGTCCAGCGGACAAAATTGTGAATCTAAACCATTCCCAGATCCCCTTGAACACACACAAAAAATTTCATCAAAGTCGTTTGAGAGAAGTTCAGTGACATACACACACACAGAAGAATTATATATATAAAGATGTATTCAGTGATATTAAAAGTATTTATATATAGATATAATACATAATTTATTTATCACGATAAATATGGACCTTAATTCATCGTTGCCGAAACTTCGCACTAAATAGTTGATAGCCTCCGTATGATGTAAATTTAATAAACCAAAGTGCAAATGTATTTATAAACAAAACATATCGCCGTTAAATTTCAAGCATTACCTCTCAATTAGTTTAGTTAAGCCAAAGTACAGCATGGTGCAGGCAAGTTGCGCATAAATTAGTCTTGTTAAGTGCAGTACACGAATTTAATCCTCATATTTCGTCTGCTCTGGGGTTCGGCATATCTTTTCGGGGCTGAAGCCTAGGATTAATGCAAGCGAAATTCAACTTTAAAGTAGCTAGCACACAGTTACATTTACCTTGATAATAAAATAATCTATCGTTTCATATTAAGCTACCCTTATAAAAATTACGTCGATATTGAAGACCTTAATTGCACTTACTTAAGTTTCAAATTCATATGTTTGGTTAAAAGGAATACATCCTTCTTTAGATTAGGGATCTGTAAGTTTAATGGTGTTCATTACTTGGTGAATGAAATCGGATTACCGGACGCCGTATAAGCCCGATCTGACTAAAATATGAGAGTTTTAATTTTGTACGAACGAGAAAACTTTAAGCGAAAGTGGAGTATATAGAACTTTTATCACGTCGCAACATTTATTTCTAAATTTGGAAAACTAAAATAAAAGAATTAATTTCGGAAAGAGTGAATAAGGAATAATTATTCGGAGGATCATTTATGGTTTACTATTATATTATCAAAAAATGTTATTAGAAATGTATTCTGAATTTAGCTGATAGAAGGCTGGAAGTTTCAAAGTAGAGGCTCGGAGGAGGTTGGAAGTCCTTTGTATTGTGCTAGTTGTAATTTCCTAGCAGACGAGCTGCGCGACAATCCCGACTTATCTTTGTTCCTTGACTACACTTTCCCTTGGGCTTCCGTATTTCCATCACTGCATTTGCTATCTACTACGACTCTAGAATCATTGTTTTAAAGTTCATATTCCTTTAAATTAGTGTAATTATAACTGGTTGTAAGACGTGGTTTGATTTATGTCGCAACTTCACAACTTTTGTAGTCGCTTTCATTGCACACAGCCGAGAGCAAAGCAACTGGTTTGTTTGCGTTCTTTATATTCCCGTTTTACTTTGTACGAAGCATGCTCGTTGAGGGTCTTGTAAATTAAATTCAATTTATAAGCTCCAACAACTGCATTACGTTTACGGAACGCTTGGCTTAGCTGCAAAGAGTCGTGTTGTTTGAATTCCTTTTCGTCAATAAAAGAACAAATGGCTATAGACATATACACATTAACAATTATTAACAATTTATTAACAATTAACAAGCGATTTGAAATTAATATATACTATAATATAGTTTCAAATTGTAACTTGTTTGTCAATTACTATAGTCACAAGGAAACTGTTCCTCGTGACGATAAGAGGAATGAATAGGAATAAAATTTACTACTGATGCTACCATGAAAAAAGATTCCAGTGTGGTCAAAGCATGGACAATTTTACTAATGGGTGTTTTTTTGAAAGTATGTCCAGAACGGCTACATATAATGTAGAACATAGTCTGGCTACACAGGCTACTAATTAACTTTTTTTTAAGTACGCGCGGACGGAATCGCGTACGACAGCTAGTTTTAAATAAAGTTGATAACACATTCGCAACTATTGCTAGTAGATGACAATGCGCAACGATGGTGGGATATTATGGTGATCACATTTCCATTTAATTTACCTCCTATACTCAAAAAAGTCCTTTTATAGCCACTAAAGTTTTCTGGTTTGAATAATTTTATTATTCTCACCTTGTATTGAATTTCATTGTAGCAACTGCAAACGTTCTGCCCACGCGGCGAGACGATTCCCATTCGTCTGTTATTTATTCGTCTCTCTCCGTGGGGGTCGGGACACGAGGCCGGCAGACACCGCGCTCACAGCACACCGCAACGCCACAATACCTAACACCGGCACAGACGTTAAACGTTTGCTATAAATACAAGTAATTTAATACATTTAAATTAGTAAAGCGGTCATTCGTATTCCACGTCCAACACAATTTGCAACAACGGTAACAGTTTGAGCTTATTTTAGTAGCGAGGGGGTTAGACAAAGTGCATTCGCTACGAAGCGATTCCATAACAAACTTCAAAAATGTGTCAAACTGACAATAACTTTGGATAAGTCACGTGATTATCACGCGTCATTTCCATACAATTTTGAAGTTCCCTATGGAATCGCTTCGAAGCGAATGCACTTTGTCTAACCCAGCAAGTATAACCAACTACTTTTATTCCTATCTTAGGTTGTGTTTTAACTTAAAAATGTTAATTATTTAACTTAAGTTTACATGCTAAAATACTTCTATATGCATTCAAGTCTCCAAGTCGAGGAGTCTGTAAATTACAACCGTCGTTAAGGAAGCGTCTGCTTTCGTTCACTCAGCCGCGTCTTAAACAAAGACATCACGTGCCAACAAATGATAAAATAAATTTCGAACATTCCCCCATTACAAAGCTAATGGGCTGTATCTCCAGAGTTAGAGAATAAAAGATCCGTCGATTAGAAACTTTATGTTTGCAGATCCCTCCCTGTGCAGTCTGTAAATCTTGAAACCCTCGAAGAAGATATTCAAAAATTAGTTATAGGCTAAATTATTTAATATTATTAATTTATTAAGGAAACTAGTAATGCAAATAGTATGTTTTATTTGTATATTTGTAATAAAAATTTTTAGATCATTTGGAAACTAACAAATACTGGAACAATATTTGTAAATAAATGATAATTTAACTACCGTTCCATAAAAGTTTCGACATTCAACGCAATCGGAACTTTTAAATTAAAGTTGGCAACACCACAAAATGTCAAAGTGACGGAACTTCGACTACAATATTGTTTGGCCGTGGCCATGTTCCACAGTTAATTGCCATGACCGTGGTCATTCGACATCGTCGGGCGACGGTTAAATAATTACTCATAAAAGAATAAAATAGGAGGAATAACGAAAATTGAAACGCCTTTTCGGGTCCAACGTGGCGGTAAAATTAAAAAATGGTGAAAATTGACGGGCGAAGTGAAAACATATAAATCTGAGGGCTAGCGGAAAATTAAAAAGCGTCCCGGGGCGAAGCGACGTCGCAGCTACGCAGTTTGTTACCACATCAGATCTGATTTTCCAAGTTACGATAAAAACTTCTCCTAATATCGACTCGTAGAACTATGCCCAGAATTTTGGCTTGATTTTTCAGACACGTTAATGTTTAAAAAGTTTTTTTTTTTAAATAAGAAAGGTAAAATCAGTTCTATAAGAAGTGTGATAAAATTTAGGTAGTTTTAGCTGTGAGCATTCATACTATAAAGTAAGTAAACGATATCAGTTCGAACTATAAGTAATGAAACTATTTTTATAAACATTTCTAACTTACTTACCTACTTCAAATCGAGTATAGAAACACAGATAAAATCACTATTTCGTTAAGTTTTTTTTTAATTTTAAATAATATTCCTAGTGATACACAGACCTGACTCCATAAACTTTTACATTCGTAAAAAATATATTTATTATAGTATTTTCTGACAATCTTTAAAGGTATCAGTTTTGTTCTACCCGAACACTTTAACTCCTAAGTATACTTCGCGATAGTGCATGGCTTTTAAAATCATGCCAAATAGGTCAGTTATTGAGTTGTAATCGGCAATTCCTTCATATAACCCGCAATTCCGATTGCTTCCCACCGTTTAGGTTAATGATGCACTAATGCGTTTGCACTGTTACCATTACGCGGCCAACTCATTAGTACAATGCCATTATTAAGCTCCCACTCGAAATGCAACCAACAGTAAGCCGATATTGAAAATTATATTTTTTTATTACATTTGTTATTGCGCCGGCACGAAACAGGATATTGGTATCAACAGATTTTCCTCAAACCAATTTACGTCAAGATTAAGCTCTGATGATTTTTTTTTGTTTGTTTTCTTTACTTAAAGTAATGCAGTTGGCTTATTATACCGAGTTTAGGGCGTCGTCTAAATAACTCCACGTTTTACAGACTACAAAATGGAAATTTGGCGAAGTTCTACATATACACGCATTTTGGGATTTGATGTTTAATTTCAACCTTAATAGAAACCCTTTTTTTGCTATTGTACATTAATAATTATGAATTGTACAATAAACATAAATTTTGGACAAAGAATCACACAGTAAAATATATTCAAGCCTTAAAACTGCAGTGGCAACCCTTCATAAAATATTCCAAACGTTGTTCGCGGATTACGACCATCTTTAGATTTATGGCAACCCGCTGTCCGCCATATTGTTCCAAATTTAAAAATATTTATTTTGAACCCTCATTCACATAAATATACCCAACGAAGCCATCAGGAAACCGTTCGGTTTGGCAATGAGTGGACTTCGGAGACTTTCCTTTTCAGATTTTATTTTTTCAGGTTGAATATAAAACTCATTATTGAGACCGCATTTACAGAACAAACCAGTATCGACATTTATTACAAAACTTCCTTGATTTGTTTTATTGTTACTTCAGAACGAAATAACCAAATCCTTCACGAGAAATATGAGATGCGTAAAGTCGAAATTATTTCAGAATTGTAAATATCACGCTAATTTCATATTGAAAATGAGAATTATTAATAAGAAAAGTTTTAAAGACGTCAAATGTAAGAACGTCTTCATTGAAGTTTAGGATCGCATCCAAAGTCCATCGTTTGCTGTAGATGTTTACGAAAGATGCTGATCATATAACCCTTGCTCCTTTTAGGAGCAACCTCCTCCTCTTTTAAACCTCTTTTAAATAATTTCAAGAAATCACACATTTTATACAAATACAGTTCCAGTGAAAAGAAAAATTACAAAACAAAACGTTATAAAATAAACAAAATGCTTATAAAATATCATCTTACTATACGTCCCGCAATATGGTTGGAAAGGGTGGTAAAATTTTAAGAAATTTTGTCCCTAAATCATATAATTTTATCACTCAAATAACTGGTGTCGTTTTGTTCTGAGATAGCCCCAGATTACGTCGGAATCTTATTTATTCCTTACGAAATTCAATTGCGATGCAGTCAAATTGGATTCGTTTCAATGAAATGAGTGACAATATTCAATCTACATTTAAAGCCGTACATTGCAGATTGAATACTCATGGACCCATAAATAGTATGTATATTAACAGACCAGGGAACAAGCTAGATAGACGAAATATATAGCTTAGAGAATCGAGTTTTAACAATTATTTTTCAATTTAACCCATTTTATAACAAAACTAGCTGTCGGCCGCGACTACGTACGCGTGTTTGTCTAAAAAATAAAATTTAGGGGCTACCCTTAACATTTAAGGGGATTAAAAATAGATGATGGCCGATTCTCAGACCTACTCAATATGCTCACAAAATTTCATGAGAATCGGTCAAGCCGTTGCGGAGGAGTATGGGAACGATAATTGTGACACGGAGAATTTTATATATAAGATTACCTTTAAAAAGAAGTCAATTATCGCTAACAAATTACTATTGTAGTTGTAGATCATAGAAATTAAATTTCAGAAAGCATTTCAATGTATAAAACATTTTCACGGAAGAGCAATATTAAATTTTTCTTAATTTACATAAAATATTCATTAAAATGACTTCAACAGCGGAGACTAAGGGATATAATAAATTTACACCTTATGCTTCTTGTGTCTTTGACTGCATACGTAATTTAATTACTTTAAAAGAGAAATTTCATGTTGATTTTAACAATATTATATAAGATTCTGGAATATTTTTTATAGTTATAGCACTCACAACTCCACAAAATATATTTACAAATTACATTTTGTTTAGTTGAGCACGTGTTTTAACCCTTTGACCGCCGGTTGACATTAAGGTTATAAAATAATATGATTTACTCCTAAATATCTCTCAAGTACTTTGTTCTTCATTCGTGAAGATCGCATTTTGAAAGTTTTGATAGTAAAGTACTACCAAATACTTAAAGTTGACTGCTTTTAACAAAATCTAGGACCCAAACCATAGTCAATAATTTAACCTTTTAGCAAAAATAATATAAAACTGAACAACAAACAACTAAACCAACAACCCCACTCACTGCCCTAATCAATCTGCGATAATTTTACGCAAGTTTTAATAAAATCTTCAATCGCTCATTTCGTTAAGACATCAAACTTTTCAAGTCGTGATAAAATTTAGCCTAACAAGACGTCACAAGAAAACGAATAGAATCGACGACTTAGAAGAGGGTCGACGTAGACATGACGTTTCCAGGTTAACTCCATTAAGCTATTTGTTGGAGCCTTTTAAAGTAATTACTAACAAAACTTAATATTTATAAATAAAATTTGAACTGTTTAATTCTTGTAACCTTTGATAATTATGATTTATTGACAAGTGACTACCAAAGCAGCGGTTCTAAGAATTCGTAACTCTCCGATACTGGCCTAGACGCCTGAAATTATTGTTTCATATTTGTAATATAGACAGAAATATTAAACTGCATACCTATTATTTGACTTAATATATCAAACACGAAAACTTAACAAAGACAATTGATAGGATAGGATAGGATAGGATATCTGGCCCTTTACTTATGTTGATGTACTCTGTACCGCTTCTTGCCCAGATTCTAGACAACTAAATTTAAAAAAAAACTAGACTAAACAAAAACATTTAACTGGAATACAATAAAGTCTAGAAACTGTACTGTAATTTTACGTTATTTACGTAATCATAATGGAGCATTCATTTCATTACTTACATATTTTTGGAGACAAGAGATTAATCTCGCTCGGCCGAAACCCGCGCCCGCGCCCGCGCCCGCGCCCGCGGCCGTCTCTCTGAATTAAATTATGTCTTTCCATGAATATTATACAGGATGTCGCAATCTTTTTACATTACTTAAATCAACCTCGACTTTGAAATATCACTCGATTTATCATAATTTCAGCTTTTTTATCGTTTGCTTATAAATTAATTTTACTTTTTTACTTTTCGTTTTACCTATTATTTGTTTTTAGTAATGCAAAATACCATTGTTATAAAATATAATTACGTGAGTTTACTAGTGATGAAACTCAAAAAAGTAGCGAATGAAATATTTTGATGTTTATTTTAGTACTATAGTAGTTTGCTGCAGTATTTGCACAACGAAAGATTTTTATTACTAGCTGTAGCCCGCGACTTTACCAACGTAAAATTAAAAAACAAGCCTTTCTCACTCCTGCATATTAAAGCTACTTTCCAGTAAAAGTCCAGTCAAAATCCGTTCATCCGTTTCGGAGTTTCGGTCGAACAAACGCGAATTTGCGGATAGCGGACACAGACAAAAAAAAATTAAAAATTGGTTTTTCGTTATCAGCAACTCAAATACGTCACGTTTTCGAAATATGATATTTTTTTCATACAGACACTCCAATTTTCTTAATTGTATAGTAAGATAGATTCTCACTACTAACTATACGTAGCAGACTTAACTTAATAAAATGTTAAAGTGAAATTACAAAAACAAAAGCAATACCAATGTATATTTGTCACTAAAAGTCGGCGCGGCGTAACAATAAGTATGTACGCGACTACGCGACTTGCAACGCCGCTCATCTGACGGCGGAGTTTTTTATCGTCGAGCCGAGATAAATGTCCGGTTAACGGGGGTTCAACATTGATTTATACGGGACGTCCGTCAGGGCAACGAATTACGAAGGCAGCGATGTAAATCACCTGACGTCCGGCCTAGATCGATACACGCCTAATAGCTTTTCAATAAAAACTCCTAAACTTCCCATATTTATTTGCATCAATCTAATCATTGTTTAGAGAATTAAAATTGTGCCAACTTTATTGATATTTTATCATAATTTTTTTTATAGAAATCAGGGCTTTTCTCGGTTCATAAACTTGTAACAATTATTATTTATTAGCTGTCGCCAGCGCCTCCGTCTGGTATTTAAAAAAAAATTATTAAGTACCCTATGTATTCTTCCACACTATGTTCTTTATCTGTGCCAAATTTCATCAAGATTCGTTAAGCCATTCCGGAGGTAATGTGGAATAAACATCCATCCATCTAAACTTTCGCATTTATAATATTAGTAAGAAGTAAGATAAGATAAAAAGAAACTCTTAAAGTTAACCTCAAACTTAAACATAAATAAGGGAAAAAAATACTTACCAAAAAAACGTTTTACGATCCTTCAATCTTTGGTGCGTAAACTTAAAGACAACAACCGCATCTCGAAATATTAAAACAATAAGAATTAACATAAAAGAAGAGGTGGCTGAAACATTATGGGGCTGATGTTTATTGGCGCAGCACGTTGGCTGTCAAAACTTTTTTATACGTAAAACTTGATGTTCATAAAACATGCTCAGGTGGATTAAAAGGGGCGACAGCGGTTCGGGGGCTATGTCTGCGTTCACGTTAAATGACACGTCTTTATTTAACGCCTACCTACGCTACCCAAGTAATTTCAACGTGTGCATTAATCCTTCATCTTACCTTCTTAATTTTCATTTCAAAATATGAGTATGATATCTATTTATAAATTCAATAACTTTAAATTTTGTCTTAAATTACTTTTTATTTTTCAACATTTTTGGTGTTCTCAGAAAACTCTTCAATAATTTTAAAAGATTTTACTAAATTATTTGGCAACGATTAGAAGACAAATAAACAGATAATGATTTTTAGATGTTTTAATTTAAATATCAGAAAAGTTTTTTTTCTGTTGCATAATTAACAGAGTGCACTACACAGTTCATGTTGATGCAGTTTCCAGTTTGCTGCGTTTGTAGGTCGGCATAAAGAAAACGACGCATTCACAAAAAAAACTGCGCTGTCACATCACTCGAGCATAGACAATGCGTCGACGTGTCACCGGCTTTCATTACAGAAACACTACCAACTCTATGTCCAGAGTGACATGTAATTGGTATATCTGGGAAACCATTATAAACTCTATTTCTATGGGATTAAGGCTGATGTTAAATCGTTGTATTACGAGCGTTTGCAAGCTATGTAAGTGTGAATCTAAAGTTATTTACACTATTAACGCATATAATTAATAAAGCATCAAGATTTTGTGACTATGATAATCATATTTTTTTAAAGACATAGTTACATCACCTCGTAGGTTAAAAATATAATGGTTAGTTTACTGGAAAATATGTAAAATATTGTTTTTTTCCCTCCAAAATAACAAAACAATCGTATCAATGGTAAATGTAAAAAATACACGTCACATTAACGACTCATCGTTTCTCGTCTACCCTCTGCAAGTCAAAGGGTGTTTCGAGATTTCCTGCTTGTAATTTTTCTCGGGCATATTGCAGTGCTGCTTTCGCCCAATAACGCGCTCAACACCCGTCCTATAACTCAAGGGATAAATTAAACTTTTTGCTACAAAACTTCACTTGTCACGTGTAGCTGGCACTTATGGATTGCATTTTCTGGTTTATTTATATTTGCCATTTAACTTCTGATATATTAATGTATACGTATTAGTATATAAATATAGACATTCTATATATCTTTGTAAATATTATTTTGATATTGGTAGGTTTGGAAAAATATTTTTTACCAACATTTGTTATTAAAAATCTCAACGTTTTAGGTAATTTTTTTCCGCGCTGTTTTGACGCCTTTTTCACTAAACAGATTTCTTACACATCCATGGTGCGGAGAAATCTCATGTGACAGGGGATATTCCAAGCTCAAAGTACGCTTTAGGATCAAAATGTCGTCAAGTTTACATTAAAGACCTGACGCATTTATTATTATTACTATACTAGCAGTTGCCCGCGACTTCGTGGACGCCGAATTTAACAATCGAGTTAAATACATATAGCTTATGTCACTATGGGATAGTGTAGTTTCCCAACAGTGAAAAGTTTTTCAAATTGGTTCAGTAATTTTGGAGCTTGTTATTGAACAATTGCATTGGCAAACAAACTATCAAATAATTCGTCTCATAATATTATGATAGATGTCAATTACTAGTAAAGTGGTATAGCCCGAAAACCATTATATAAGTATAGTCCATTCGAATTATTACCTAATCTTTCGGTGCCAGCGACTGGACTCAGCGAACGCCTAGCGAAAAATATTAATTGTATGAAACCTGTTAAGTGATTGAAATCATATGGTTTGTAATAATTTTGAGTAAATATTATTTTTATTTTTTAAAACTTTTAGCTAATACTGTAAGTTCAAAAGGTTGATAAGCTGTACATAGTGGAGTCCAGCGGCTGTCGTCCGGGTAACATCCGGTCTGACCGGAAGTCATTTCAGAGCCGGAAAATCGCCAATCTCGTCGCCCTACCTGGCTCATTTTTTTATCACACTTTCACGTAACATGTGGCACTGTATATTTTTTTTTATATTGAGCATAATAACGTATTGAATGTAATTGCATACGTCTGGAGTCGCAACCTATGTTTAGTGTCAAAAAGTCAATTATGAATCTTTGTATAAATCTGATCACTAATGTCGAACATCAAAGTTTAGTTTTAGCCTCAAGGGTGCATAAAACAATAGGTAATAGGGGATAAATATCATTGGAATATGTAAGATTTATGTCATTATTTTGTAAGTTTCTTATGTTTCGTTGTAATGTTTTACATGTATAAGTTAAATAATTAGCGTAAATAATTAAAATGCTACCCGAAGACAGTTTTTCACACGGACAAAGACGCGGGCACAACTAGTAAGAAATGTTTTACAAAATTTAAAACAATGCCATCTATATATAACTTTAAACTTTCTTAGTTTCTACTATGACATTCGTAATAACAATGCCATCTAGCACACTTATCGATAAACATAAAAGTTTCAAAAATATACAGATGTTAGTACCAACATTTGGCGCGCGATTGCGCTGCTTTAGTATTTGTTGCTAAAGTTTTATCATTTAGTTTAAAAATTTGAGGCTGAAGCTAAAATTAATTTGTCTATAAATTGTACTTTGGCCTTAACTTACCTGATATAAATATACATTCACGAATTTGTAGCCAATAAACTGTGAAATTTATAGTTAGTAAAGTAAATGATAATTATGTGAAAAGAAAAACATGAACAATTACTAATTTATTTTACTAATGACTACAATTAAAACATATATTAAACTTCATCAATTAATTTAAATCTGTTGTGCTGTGGCTCCGGTATGACATTATAGTATTTCTTGAATATGTTTTGGTTAGTTCTACCAGCATAACACCGCTGCACCCATGTGTGATCCCAGTTTGGTTCAAACTTCTCACATGTTACAACCACTTTGCCCGCTTCCATTGCAAACAATGTGCCATTACGTCCAAATCCAACCTGAAATTGAAACAAAACATGACAATTGTTGGCCTCACTCAAAATTATCAAACTTTTGCAAACCCTGATAACTGGCACAAAAATCGATCACTAAACAATTACAAGCATATGCTTATCCACAAGCTCATGTTTGTTGTTTGATGCTTGCTGTTTGTTGTTCTTTGCCAAGCATGTGGATTGTCTGAGTATGTGTTATAAGTTTTTTAATTAATCAATTTGTACATTTTTATAAAAAACTGCTTCAGCATTGTTTGAATAAATTTGTGGAAATGTAAGACAGCGAAATAAATCAACACAGATATGGACAACAAATTGTACATACTTACATTTAAACCTGGATGAAACCTTGTAGTTCTTTGGGTTGCTAAAATTTTTCCCGCTGGAACAATGTGACCATCTTGTACTTTCCACCCTCTGTGCTTCGGCCTTACTTTGCAGTTTGTATTCCTCGTACTACCTCCTGTCTTTTTACTGGCATTGCGTACAAAATCTACAAAGAGAGATTGAGTTTGTAAGAATTAGATAACCTCAAAGTCCAATTATTTTCAAACACTTACCGATGAAGACTGACACTGATTTTTTAGTGTTGAGTAACCAATTAATTGACATTATTCTTGAACTAATAAAACTGCTTAGAACAATACCGTTTTTAGCGCTTTAATATTATTGAATTTATAAAACTTCCAACAACTTCACAGTTCAATCAACTTATTATGACAAATGACAACCGACAGATTGACAACTGACAGCAAAGAGCATATATACCAATAGGTTACCAGTACAAACAGAGTCTTGTAGCATTGTAGGACGAAAACAGGAGTCTACTAGTGACCTGTCACAATTTAGTTTTGCTCATCCCAAAGGGGTCAGATATTATTGTCAGTATATTACCAACAGACATTTTAAACACTGAAACACGGAGTTATGTGGGTTAGTACATCTATTTACCCTGAAATATAACCCCTAGGGTAATAGATGTCCAAATATACTTCCTGTGAAAATTTAACATTCTGTATAATATCAATACATTGGCATCGGTACTATCAGAAATATTTTTTTTACTAATAGTTTTTGTCGGCGCGATTATATAAAACAACAAAAAATGTTAGAATTTTCACAGTGGATAACAATAGATGGACAACTCAGATTATCTATACATTGAAATATTTTTGATCAAAAGAAAAATAGATAGTGGGACTCTTCGGCGATGTTACCTTGAACCTGTCAATGTTAAGGTGTTTTCATTTACCTAAAACCTTTCACAAAAAAAGGTTTGATACTTTATCAGTCGGTTAGATCATTCGATACCGTTTTTGATTGCTACAAGATAATTTTTGAATAACAGGGTATGAACATAACAGATTTATTTTGTCCCACGTGCAAATACAGCCTGAAAATTTATGCTTATCGTACCTATTTATTGGCCTTTGTATCGCTTCTGTTGAAGTGATCATCTCTCCTTTTCGAACTATATTTTCATATTCATATACGAAAAAAGAAACAGGTTCTTTTTGAAAGAATTTAACGAATGTGTTTTTATTTATAACGCTCAAGGGCATCAAGTAGGTAGATAGAAGTTTAAATTCATTACACGTGCTCAGTTATTATAGATGCTTATCGCACTAGTTGTATCCCGTGACTTCGTTCGAAAACCGATGTGATTTTAATATGTTTTTAATTTTTAATTTGTTCATAATTTTTTATTGTTTGCAATAATTTATTTTTTACTAAGTTATGGTTATAGATACATCTACGAACAATTCCTAGTAACACACAAGTAAGTGGTCACACTTCCATGCAATAGGTTCTCAGCATGAAGTTGGAGCTACTATTCTGCAGAATCAAGAGGTAGACATTTTTCGTGGCGATCATATCAGATTCACTACTGAAAGGAGACAGCGCAATCATTCTGAATCCATTATTGTATTTTACGTGTAAAGTGTAGTAACGTAAACAAATTATGTTCATAAGATACAAAGGAATATCAGCATTAATTCTTTATCACAATATCAGTCGCGCGTCGAGTCAGCGACGCGAACATACCTACTAATTACAAACAGACTTTTATACACGACGGTTGTTTATGCGCAGTAGCAGATAACATTTTTATTATTTATTTGTTACAAATATAACCATGATTTTATTTTTAATATTTAGTACTGTGTTATTTATAATATTAATATCGTGGTTTAATTTGCTGTGGGATGCAAAAACTTGTGATATAAGTGGTCCTCTACCTTTACCTTTGATAGGTAATGGACTAGATTTCGTCGTAAAACCAACTGGTAAGTCTGTTATTTTATTTTGTATCGTGCGTCAATTTGTACAGTCGTTATGTTTTTATTTATAATTCGTCATATTGATATGTAGACCTTTTTTAGATCAAGAATTATCTGATACATCATGTTTATATAGATTTAAGGGTTAGCCAACGTAAGTCAAAAGAGGTATTACGTTTAGGGATTTAGAAATGTGATGTTTATTCGTATATCATAATCAGTAAATGGTAATAACCGTATTTCGACCCTTTTTATAGTTTTGCAGAACATTTTAGTTAAACAGGGGTCAGCGATTTTTATATATATAATAAGAAGATTATAATTATTCACTTAAAACATT